AATGTTTACGCCTTAAACTCAGTCAAACAAGCATAAACTGTGAAATAAACCTCAGAGAATAACGTCTGCACCTTTAAATCCAAACCCTGCTTATCCAGTCTGCTGCTGAGGATCTGCAGCTTTCTGATCCTTCAACTCTTGTTTGATGTTTTTTTTTTTACGGCTGGGTGTGTGCAGCTTAGTCTCAAATTTGAGGTGATTTACTGGACACAAGAGTAAAAGATGGAAAAGAATGTAAAAGACAAACAATAAAAACAAACATCAAAGAAAAAAATAGGAGGAAGAAACTGAAGAAAGTAAAACAGTTAAAAAGTAGAGTTAGATAATGACAAAAGGGGAGCCTGGATGTTTCAGTTTTTAATTATTAACCACCAATCAAGATTTTATTGGGAATATTTTAAGATAAGCAGCTTAGATAATTAAGTTGTTTTTGGTAGCATCGCCCAGAGAGCAACGCAGACATCCTGCTAAGCAGAGAAACTCCAGTAAAGTTTTTCCTTCAGAGTCCAGCCTCCCTTTAGCTTTTCATCCATGATCAACATCCCATAAATAAAGAAGATCGTCCTCATGTAGAAGTCAGAGAAGTTAGATTCTTTGTCTTTTGCTTTGCTGTTTTTGTACCTGATCATTTCATCAATGCGCAGTGAGAGCGTTCACTGCTCCTCCCTCACCTCCTGCTACTATGTGACATTTGCTCCAGGATTAACATTTAATTAAGAATGCGTATTATATATTTAAGCCCACATAGTCCTTTTTCTATAGTTGAATATTACACTTAGATCCCGTGTTGCCATACGAGGCTAATATAAGACTTTTACATTTTTGCGGCTCCAGACAGATTTATTTTTTGTTTTTTTTGGTCCATTATGGCTCTTTGAGCAGTTTGGGTTGCAGACCCCTGGGTTAGTGCATAGAGCTTGGAATCCTGAGGTTCTGAGTTCGAGCCCCGCTCCCACATACTGCCACTCTGGATCTCTGAGCAAGACCCTTAACCTCACACTGCTCCCCAGAGGACGAACAATGGCGGATAGGTTAAATGCAGAGAGTTAATTTTGTTGTAACAGTGTAATGAAAATAAAAGCTGGAAAAAAATTATCTTCTTTAAAAGGTAAAAACACTCAATCCACTGGCAGATCAGCTTATTTTCCTGCTCAATTAAGGGTAAATACCAATATTTTTAAGAAATTTTTACTAATTTTTGCATAGTTTTTGCAGTGGATCGATTAAATACTTAATCACTCTAGTTTTAATGATTTCATCATTTTTCTTTGCAGCAAAAAATGGTCCTCGGTTCAAATCCCTGCCTTTTTGATTAGTGGGTAGCATGGGTTTTATTTCCATGCCCAGATTTTGCCCCTGGAGATATGCTCCAGTGAAACTGGTGCCTAACAATAAACGAGCCAGCATGGATAATGGATGAATTAATGATGCTGCGGGCCAAAAACAACCGCAAACTAAAAAGCAACAAAGTAGAGAGAGTGAGTTGTTAAGAGGGCGAAGTGTGCTCCAAATCACAACCAGATTTACAAACTCTTTCTTGTAAAATCTAAAGTTAAACTCTCTTCTGAATAGAGGGCAATACTTTCTAAATCCTTAAAAGAAGAAAAAAAAACTCCCTCATCCCCCAAAAATATCCAGTCAGTGAAGAAGGATCTAAGAGCAGAAATATAAAAAGAAAACAGAGCTGACAGTTGTGTGAAAGTTGATGGATGGTGGGATGGAGAGGTGCTGAAAGAAAGGAAGCAAATGTATAAAGTTAACAAAGACGACGAAATAAGATAACAGAAGTCAGGAGAAAGTTATTTTTGAAGAGTTAGAGAGAGGAAATGGAAATCTAAAGTTTAAAAAACTGTCAAAACAAGAAATAGACTGAGAATGAAAGATGAAACCAAAGTAGAAAGCCTAAAAGAAACTAAAAGACAAGAAAAAACAACCAAGGTAAGAGCTGGAGGAAAACTCCAGCAGGCTTAAATACAGGGAAGCTTTTTTTCTTAAATAATAAGATTAAATGCAATGAAGCATAAAAAATATATTTACCTTTAAGAAAAACAAAGATTTGGAGAGTGTAACTTCATCTGCAGCGCTGGTCAGAGTACATCCACACGGAGGAGGCTGCCAAATTAAACAGTGATGACTTTGCTTTAGCGCCGTTACCCGATCTGCAGCTGATCCGACTTTTACAGTCCTCAGACAGCCCCGTTCATCAGGTTGATGGTAGATCGCTTTTACATTTGCCACAAATTCTCCAGAGGGATGCTTGAATGAAAAGATCCGACCTGTGCTTCACCAAAAAGGTCAGTTTTAAAAACCAAAAATTCAAAATAATCCAAAATGCTCCCCTGATATAAATTAAAACTCTAAACATCTTTAATCAACGGTTTAAAACAATCCTTACAGAACCATGACAACAATGTTTAACATGTCAATTAAGAAAAATTACCCAGAAACTAAAGCTGCTCCTAATGTTGATGCTGGAAACATGGATATCGTTATGCTTGAGTTGTTTTTAAGTAGCAGACAGGAAAAAGATAGTAACTCCAGTGAGAGTGCAGATTCCCAAACTTACCTTAACGATCACCTGACCAAAACTGCTGGGTTGAATACAAACATTTCTAAAAAAAACTAAAAAAAACTATAGGATTAAAAACAGCACCAATATATTTGGTTTTGTCTTTTTCTAAGTACTTTCAAGCTCCTGAAAGTGCATGGTCATGTTATATTCATACCCAAAAAAGACTAAAACCATTTGACAATGATAAAATAAGGTTATATAGACAAGGTGTTTGCCCAGACAGTTTTTACTTGTTTTTGAGTCTAAATAGAATTCCAGCACCGGAAACAAGCTGATATAAACAGACGAGGCGGCATCTACTGCAGAAATATCAGAAAGACAGATTGAAGTAGCTGCAATTGATGCAGCTACTTATTAGAGCCTGATCACCCAGCAATGCCTTGTGGTAAAGCAACAGCTTACCGTGGTCGAACTACCAGGATATTGATTAAATAAAAAGATCTACAGCAACTCTAGAGAATCCTCTCCCGACTGTCTTCTATCAGAGCATTTTCTGTTCCTGATAAACACAAACGGGAACAAACGCATAGAGCTTAGAATCAATCCATCAACCAACTTCTAATGTCGATTTTTCTTAGACTTTAGAGATTAAAAATAGCAATGAATGTATGTATCTTGAAATCAAATATTTTTTCGCTATTTCCACACTTCGCTGGTAGGTGTTAATCAGCGTCGCCATGATAGGAAACTTTCTTGTTCTTTGCTTTACTTACCGACAAACTGAGCAACAACAAAGCATAAAGCATAAAAATAACAAAACCTATGACAACATCACAATGTAATATTACAGAAAAACTTTGTATGGTGACTATACACCTTAAAACATGCTTCATCATTATTATTTAGTTAAACTTCTATAGAGGATCTCAAGAGTTGCTGATTTGTCCCTGTGTTTGGGCTCAGGACCCCAACTTTGGAAATCAGTAGCATAGAGTATGAACTCTAAATAATTATCATAATTTTTTTTATTTTTCAGCTAATTAATATATAATCAAGCATCGGGAAACTTAAAAGAAGTATTTACACTTATCTCTTGCGGCACTTCAGTAGGAGGTCGAATCAATGAAGAGATCCAATGGATGCTCAGAGCTAAGTATCACACTTTTAAAAATCATATTTACACAATATGGTGAATTCTCAAATCCCTTGTAAACAGAACTAAACTCAGTGATCTACTGAATTTTGCACCATATTTATTTATTTATTTTGCACTGCTCTGAAACTTCCATATCAATGCTTTTTGCACCACGTCTTTAAACTGGTTTTCCTTTTCTCCTACAGTGTTTATATTTTGATCACTGCTGCACTCTATAAATGGAAATGTTCATTTCACTGCTGTAAGTTGCTCACTCACAGTTGAAAAGCTGTATGTATCTAAATTTAATTTTGTATAGACTCCATCTATAAAAAATTACAATAAAGTTTGTCTAAGTCTTTTGGCCACTAGGGGTGCTAGACCTGCAATTGCCAGGTTTAGGGCTCCTTCATTTTAGTGCTTATTAATGAATGCAGCATCAATACGCACATGTGATGCATATTGACAAAAAAATTATTCAGTATATTTTAAATTAAGCTAATATGTCAAAATATATATATTATATATATATATTATAATATATTAAAGATATGCTTTACTTTCGATCAACCTTTAACTGGAAAATGATTGAATCCCCCAGGTAAATAAAAGTGATATTGAAAAATCCGAACCAGAATGTTTTGTCATTATCTCCTTTCTATCTCCTCTTTCTTTCGTCTTTTTTTTTTCTTCTTCTTCTTCTGTTTTTCTGCTCTATTTACATTGCAGTGTCCATACAAACTGTAAAACTCCCTGCATAATTATAATAAAGCAATTTATATGCATGAAACAAGTGGAGCATCAAGACAATTATTGTTATTGCCACATTGCCAGACAGGACACTGTTAAAAACAAAACAAAAAGAAAAATCAGAACCACAAATACAGGGCAAACGCCCACAGTCAGAAATCTTTATTACTAAATAGCCATGAAAAGTTAATTTTTACTTACTGTTTGAGGATTCTCACTACAGGCTTCACAGTTAGAGCAAAGTTTATTCTAAAGTGTAGAAACGTCTCCTGGAATGAAGAATGGCTTTAAGAGCAGACTCAAAGGATGAGCCTGATGGATCTGAAGCTCTAGTACATTTACAAAACCTGCTCTACATTTTAAACACCCACAGTGATGAGAAACAGTCACTTACAGTAAATGGTATCCAGTGGAAACCTTTAAAACATCGCCTAGATTCTAACACTCTCTCTTGGCAAACATGAGCTGGCGCTGCTATAATATCTACATTTTTATCATTTATCAAACTTGTTAAGTATCTACATTAAAAAAAGAAGGAAAGCTGTGTTTAAACGGGAGAACATGAGGTTTTGCTCAGACGAGATGCTGTGACCGATATTGCTAACATCTGTTTCACAAAACAAGCTAAAAATAAAAACATCCTTGACAAAAAAAGAGCTTCATTTGGACCCATTGACACAAGGAGTGATCCGGACAAGGAGCTGCTGCCACAGCAACAATGACTACTACAATACGTCCACAAACTGTCAATTCTGGCAAAAAAATACAAATGAAATAACTCAAATCAGCCGTTTTTGCATCACAAAATATGTTTGTGTCAAAATGCATCGAAGATTTTAACTGGAAGGACCCTTACCCTTGCACCCAAGGATGAATGGGCATGTATGAAACTACCGTGTGAACGTTATAGCACAAAAAGACAAGGTATAGCTGGATTCTGTAAAGGATCTATTGAAAATAAAGCTTTTCTGAACCTTTACGGAATGTTTTTTGGATTATTTCTGTCTGATGAGCTCTCAGATTTAGATACCAACAAAGACACAAATAGAACTATGCGTGTGTTTTGTTGGACTAATCCGAGTAGAGCAGTTTTTCTACAGGAAAAACCACAGTGTGAAGTTTATTGTAAAATCTAGAACACATTTTGTTTCTAAAAATAAGTCAGAAAGTTCATATTTAAACTGACATTCATTTAAAACACAGGTGAGCAGAGGAGCATTGGTCAGCTGGTTTCCATCATGCAAAGTATAATGGTGGGGCTGCATGGGGACCAGTATGTGTCGGCGGAGTCAAACATAAAAAAAAACAGTGAAGGTCAGATGGGGATGGAACCAGCAGCGGCTGTGGGATGTAGCCTTGATTCACCCCGCAGCATCGGGGTAATTTGACGAGCCAGGCAGTTTTATTCCTGGAGGAAACGGCGGTTCCAGCTCCGGCGAACCTCCGAACCACGCAAGGGGATGAGAGGACACTTCTGCTGCTGCATCCCTAACTGAGTGTGGGTGTGAGCTGGTTTGGGGCCCGTTCCGGGATTAGCGCTGTGGGTTCAACTGCTGCTGAGGCAGGACAAAGAAAATGACAAAGAAGGGAAAGTCAGCAGAACGCTGGGGGAGGACGTCGCTCTCATCCTCGCTCCTCACCACAGCTGGAAAACGTGCTCAGTGAGCGGCTGCATGCGGCGCATTCAGCAGAATCACAGCGGATTGGCGTGGTTTTGTAAAAGCATCCAGGAGGAAATGGTTTTGCCACTGAGATATTTGACAGAATACATTTACAACTAAAAACATATTGAAGCTTTATATACAAAAATGAATCCTTTAGATTACCCTGTTTTTGCAGAGAGGTAAACAGTATACAAACATGTACACAAATTCATGAGTGGAAGGTCTGTGGATGTTCAGCGGATGCTTATGAATGTTTTTATATGCATATAAAGAGCTTATTGCTTCACCTCCATCAACCTTCTGCAGCTTCTGTCTCCTTCTTCTTGTCTTTCACTTTTACAGAAGACTTCCTGGACACTTTTCTGTCCCCAGACTCCTTTCCTTCCTTCTCTTTCTCCTTCTTCTCCTTCTTTTCCTTGGAAGAGGAAGACTCTTTCTTCTTTGCCTCATCTTTGGGCTCTTTGGCTTCCTTGCTAGAATCCTTCTTTGACTCCTTTTTGTCTTTTGATGACTCCTTCTTCTCTTTTTTCACCTCCTTGATGGGCTCCTCTGGAACTCCTGCTTCCTCCTTCACGGATGCCTCTGATGGCTCTCTGGATACATCTTTCTTCTCTTTGGAGTCTTTTTCTGAAACAAGACATACAAAAAAGCAGAATAATTTTGTAACATTGTAGCTAAAATCTTGATTATGAGAGGAAAAAAAATGAGTTTAGGTAGAAGAAGAAAGGGAAACATTTATGTTAGTTAGAAAAGTGTTGAGGATGGAATAAAAGCCACAATCTGAGGCCTGGAGAAGGAATCTGGGAATCCTTATTCATCCATTTTTGCTACAGTTCTCTGCAAATGTTTGGCAGAAATGCCAAAAACTCAATCAGACCCGAGAGAAATACATTATTTTTGTTTCTTCTGTTGTTCTGATGAAGATGGAAGTTAAAATGGAAACATATCAGGTATGTTTAAGACAAAAACGTGTCTGATGAAAGCATAAACAATAGTACATTTCATTGTATCTCTGGTTGAACATTATAATCCCTTTTCCACTTGAAGATCCACTCACACACCTGAGGCTAATGTGAGCTCATCTGCAGAGCTTTACACAGCTTGACTACCTGCTAGTGGGGCATTGCAGCCATTTGGTTCAGATGTGTTGGGCAAAGGATGCATCTAAAACCTGCAGGACGAATCGAGGACAGCTGCTTTAATGGGTTTTCTTCCAGAACTGCCAGACCTTTATTTCTACTCAGATTCTCCTGCCCTTTCTAGAGAAAACCATCGGAAGTGGAAAGAGTACTAAAAATTGTAATTGAGTAAAAGTATCTTTCCTTTGCCTAAATTCTACTCAGAGTAAAAGTAAAATTACCCATCTCAAAATTTACTCAAGTAAAAGTACAAAATTACTTCATTTAAAATGTAATTTGAGTAAAAGTTACTTAGTTACTTTGAGTTATTTAATGCAAAAAAAGGATGAGTCATGAATCGAATTGAGCACAAGGTGTTTTAATGGATTTCAAGGTGTATTTCAGTGGACATCCACACTTGCAAAAGATCAGCTGGGCTAAGGAACATACTTCCTCACAGCAGAAGGACAGTCACAACCTGAACCATAAAGTGCAAACAATTTTAAATCCTACTGTCCAACAGACAACACCATGATAACTAACTTACCGCCACATTTTTTCGTAAATTGGATGCTGATGTTTTAAAAGCCGAAAGCTCCGTTTTGCTGGGTAGGCACATGTTGCTTTGCATTATCACATTGTTCCCTTTTGTGCATTTGAAAACAAATAATCCTTCCAAATATGGTCAAGAGTTTTTCTGGCTTTCATCTCCAGAATATGTTTCCTCTTCAGGCCTTTCCTCATTCATAGTCCCTAATTTGCGATTAACAACTACCATCTTCCGAAGCGCAGCACTGGATTATGAGACAATACAAAGGATAAATGCAAGGCAGGGCCACATTTTATTTTTTTCACTATCAGTATATATATATTTTTTTTACTCATTAATGTGAGGGGGTTTAAAATGTAGCAAAGTAAAACTACTTAGGTTAAAATTTACTCGAGTAGAAGTAAAAATTACATATTTCAAAAACTACTCAAAAAATTACAAATTACTCATAAAAAGTACTCAATTACAGTAACTTGAGTAAATGTAATTAATTACTTTCCACCCCTGAAAACCATCCACACAGCATGATGCTGCCACCATTATGTTTCACCATAGCGATGTTCTCTTCATAGTTCTCTGCATGTTTATTTCCATTCTTGCACGTATTCGGATTTTAAATCAGAATTTTCACTTATTTTCACTTATCTGACCAGAGCACCTTCTCCACGTGTTTGCTGTCTCACATACCTGGCTTGTAGCAATTCCTTTTCAGGAACTCTTGCAGTTTTCCCTCTAATGGGTTCTATGTTTCTAATTTTCCCACAACGGCCAGATTTAGGGGTCTGACCATAAGTTTTATAAACAGATTGTCTGACCCGATCTGTGAATCTGTGGAGCTCCTCCACAGTTGTGCTGCAGCTTAGTTGCTCCTTCCTTCGCTACTCTCAGTATCTGGAGTGTTTTTTGTTTGTTTTTATTTTTATTTTTTCAGGTGTATAGACAATTTGTGTTGTGTATTTGCAGTTTTGAAACAGTTATTTGAGTTTTTTTTTTTTTTTGCTTAGGACTTTTTAATTATACTTATTACATTTGAACATAAATATCTGTACTTTCTATTCTCCAGATAATGGATACCATTCTGAGAAGCAAGAAATGATTCCTTCAGCAGCTTTATAGCTGTAAAAAGCAGCGTATTCAGCTGCTCATGCTTACGTTCAGTTCAATCTATATTATGTTTTCAGAAATTTTAATAGAAAATGTGGATGAGGTAGTATTTTTACATAATGTCTACAAACACAATCAGTAAAAGAGGAAATTAATACATTTTCTGTGCAATATATTTTTTTAAGAATGTAATTTATTTTGTATGATATCAAGTGTAATGTAGAACCTGTACTTTTTTTCTGCTACTTAAGTAAAGGGGTTCAATCGATACTTTTACTATTACCAGTCTTTGTTTTTTTACCCAGGTTTCTGTATTTTTACTTAAGAATGTGAGTCCTAATTGTATTCCTTGAAAGTTGTATAATATCGTTACAATCATCTGTCTTGTCTGCCTTTTTTGTTGTCTTCAATCTGCTGATTGTTCACTAATATTTACAATCGAACCTATTATTTCTTTTGTACAGTATCATATACACTTAGAAGAATTCACACACTGGCATACTCTATTTTATTTTTTGAGCTAATTGTTTATAATTTAGAAAATATGACACTTAGGTTTTCTATTCCTTCAAAACTAGGCGTCACTTTGTTGTACTGTACTGCATTAAATTCCAATACAATAAATTGTCTGTGTCTGCAGCATCACAGAAAGAAAAAAAAACAATAACTAAAAGTAAAAGAGGTGTGAAAACTTTTGCAGATTGTCGTTTGTGTATCCAGGTGCATCTCTTAGTAGAAAAGTGATTGATGCAAATACAGAGAATAGATTTGCCCCTGCTGCTATTTAATTGACCTAGAATGAGGATTAGCTCATACTTGCATAATCAGCCGTGTTTTCTTTTGTTCCTTAACAGACTGATGCAAACACATCTTTAAAGTGAGAATAAACCGAGTGACGACGGCACCTGCTGCATGACAAAGAAACCACTCTTAATCCAAGTTCCCTTGTAGAGACACATGTATACACGCAGTCCTCAGCCCCACCTCCTCCAGCTTGAGCTGGCACTCTGATAAGATGATAACAGGGCTGTTGTCTGCCAACAATGAGACGCACTTCTTATCTCCATGAGAACGGAGAGGGTTTAGAGACCGCAGACGACAGCCTGGTATCTCGCTGAGTGGAGACTGCGTTACAACATCTGCCTCTAAAGGTATCTGAATGTCTCTGAATGTGTGGGATGGATCTTTCCTTGGATGTACGTGATGGAGACAACAGGCTGTGCTTTCAATGTGCTTAGAGACTCCAGAGAGGAGCTCTAATCAGACGGCCCATCGTCTAGGGCTTTAGAGACACAGACTCCAGTACTGTGTGGCAGGAGGGTGCTATAAACACTGATTACACTGAGCACAGAACATGAGATCTGTGCTCAAAACAGCTCGATTTTGACTGTAAGGAAAAATTAAACTAGTATGTGCATTTAATTATTTTCAAGAAATGTTTTATTTTTTTATTATTCTCACTAAGGAAGCAAATTAAATGGTAAAATCCATCTGCAGCAGCAACAATTTAACGCCTCGTAGTGGAACAGTTTAATTGGTTCTAACTGTGACGGCTCATTAAACTGCCTGTGTTTTATCGCCTAAAGCCACTTGTCTCCCCACCCGACCATAAAACCACAGAACTACAAACAGAAGACAGGGATACGTTGTATACAAGTACAAACAAGAAAACACAACTTTACATGCAAATGCAAATGTTGCTCCTTATCCACCCATGGGAGGATAAGGAGCAACATTTAAAAAGGATAAAACTAAGCTGCATGTAAATAATTGCCCCCACTCCCTCCTTCTACTCAGACATTTTACAGTTTGACTGTCTCAGACATGCTGGACGTGTCTATCAGAATAGAGAAGCTGTGCAGTAACAGAATGCCACGAAGAGAGAGTCTGCAGAAAGTGCTTTCAAACAGAAAAGAAGACGATCAGTCAGATTCTACGTTATCTGGGAAAATTTCATCAGTGGCTCTGTGCGGGTAAATCCCACAGTGACAGGCTAATCCAGAATGGATGCTAACTGTCTGGTTACCCCTTCACACAAAATCCCTCAGAAGACAAATCACTCCTCAGCAGCTGAGCCAACAAAAACCATCAGTCTGGGTGATTTTTTTTTTTTTTTTATCAGTCTGCATGTCAAGCAACAGCTGGAATTGAGAAACAGTTGAGGCATCAATCAATAGTTTCTCAGAGTTTAGAGGTTTTAATGCTTCTTGTGCCGAGACACCAGTTCCAGAAGTGATGATCTCTCCTCTCTAGAGGGAAAATTCTCTCTTATTCATCCACCCTAATCTTAAAATAGATCCTTCGGAGGATTATCTGACAGATTAATATTAGGAATAAGGCCAAACGCTTCCTATTACTTTTTAGACAAATGTTCAATTAGTCAAATGCAAAAAAACACCTTTTCAATCAAAATTTTTCCAGATTATAAATAACTATCTAAATTCTAAGTATAATTTTTCGCTTACATGAATGATATTAAAATACGTCATTAACATGAGTTCAAATGGATGTGATAAGGCGTCACTCCTGGTGCACTCCACTTCACAACTACTCGCCATATTGGCTATCGTATAGACGTGGCTGCATCACGACAACAGGTTTACATCAGCACTTCATGTGCTTTCTGTCCTTACACAGGTCAAACCGAAACAGTACCTTAACTTAAGGCTATTTATGTATTTTTTTTAATTATATCTGATTTATGATAATAAAATGTAAAGAATTGTGTGAGCTTTTGAAGTGTATTGCAGTTAATTATTTTAAGGATGACTGGAAAGATAAAAGCAAGCTTTTATGACAGGTGAGTGGATTAAACATGTTAAATTTGTTTGAACCGAGAGATAAACATTAAGCCT